ATTTTGCAACACTTAACATATTTTAAGAACTCAATTACTTTAATGCTTTTAAATCACGTAACCTTGTATTTTATAAACGGAGATGGAAATATTTTAAAACGCGTAACTACTTACATAAATTACTCTTTCGATATGCTAGTTTGTATGTGCACCATATTTCTCATAATCCTAATTTAGCGGCGCATTTATTTTGGTACACTGCGGGGAAAAAATGGGACAGTTCTGTATTTCACACTCTCCGGGGCCGATTGACGAAATTCAACTTGTGTTTTTCATGTCTCGAAAGCGGGACTTAGGAAACGTATTAAATTTATATATAGCATTGTTCTAATATAAGTTTCAAAACTTAGCTCTCAAAATTTTAGCTCCTCAATGTTCATTGAATTTGATATACATATATGTATTATTCTCTCTTGTTTTTATTAAATGTTTTTGATTCTTCCGTTCACATTTCAAAATTTACGTTCATTCCAAATAAAATTCGAACAGTTTATATGATTTATATTTAAAATTTGTATTTTAAATTAATTTTTATGTATTTTTCGAAACACGTTTTGAATTATAATCTAGAAAACTTTTACCATCATCTTAAAGTAGATGTATTTCTAAGCATATCTGCAAAAAATTAGCGATTTTTTTCAAAATTTCCAATAATATACGTGAATTTCTATAGCAACGCGTTTTGAAATTTGGCATATTTGTTGAAAGCGATAATAACATCAAATGTGGTTTTAGACACTTTGTTAAAATTATTTGAAAGTAGGAACGAGTGTCTTTTTTCTGTTCATGCCCAATGAAAAAAGGGAAAGGAAAATGGGTTGCCATATATTAAGAAGTTCGCCAAGGTCTGGCGCAAACTGAAAAAATGCGCCAAGGTAAAGTTTTGAATTTCTCCGTAAATTTCGCACCAAATTTTTAATATTTAGGCATAATTTGAGTCTTAGAATCGAAATATGGAAAAACATTGAGATGTCTTTTCAGAAAAATCCAATTTTATGTCAAAATACCTATATAAGAACAAATCTATCTATAAATCTAATACATATCCTAAATCGAGCTTTTGAGACATGAAAAATGCAATTTGAATTTCGTCAATCGGCCCAGTTGAACGGGAGATATAGAGCTGTCCCGTTTTTAGTCCCAAGGGGCTTTATCCATGAGAGACATTTGTTTTCGTTTTGCGATTTTGCATCAAATCACTCCGTTTCACTTTTCAAACTGTTGCCACCAAATGCTATCGCCCTTTATTATATTTGAAGAATTATGAAGAATCTGCATAAATGTATGTATGTTTCTCTCATTGTGATAAGACAGCGATACCTAAAGCCATCAGTTTTTGAATGACGTGATCCTATTGCAAATACGGTCATCTGGAATCCTAAATTTGAATTTGGAGTTTGTTTATTATCGATTTCATATTTTGTAAACCTTTAACGAATTTTTGGTTAACAAACTCAAGGATTTCAAAGCGAGCGATGGTAACATTGTACAGAAAAACATTTTGATCTCCAGCGCTTGAGACTGTGTATCAGAAATTCTAAAAAGATATGATCAATTTAAAATTGTTTCGCAATATTGCTCTTGAATTGAATTTTATGGTTTAAGTGCGAAGAACATGATATTCAATAAATAAAGGTAACAGACAAAATGTTAAAAAAAGGGCCCTTTGGACGTAATTTAAAATCTGAAACATTTCGGACATTTTTTTCCCTAAAGTTCCCCCCCCCTCGCAGTGTACGTATTTTTAAAAGACTGGATACATAACTATAAAAACATGTTAAAACAGCGGCAGTCTTTAAGATTTTTGAGATTTTAGGCAAGGTCTCTAATACATTCTCTGGTCAATAAGATAGTAATACGCTAATATTGCAGAACTTTCGGGATTTTAGCGATGTCGTATTATTGAATATACCGGAGCAAGGGCCTAAAATAGTAAGAAGCAACAAAGACCACTGAATTCTTGTAGCTGGTCCATGGTTCAGTTTTTAAGTGATCGCGTAGGTTAGGCTCGTAGGTATTTCACTAAATATAACGTGGATATGGGGTCTCCTCTTAAAACAATCATCGAAAAAGCTACCCATCCTATGACAAATAACCTTTGATTGTTTTTCTTAACAATCAACCTAATTTAAATTTGCAAAATTGTCAGCAAAATCCTGAACCGTTTTCTACGTAATTTTATTGTCGGCCAGGTGACTACTTAAGTTTTGTAAACGGCTGATGATGAAAATTCCTTTTTTTCCAAAAATTAAATTTACGAGGTATTTGATATTTAATCAGGTCTAAGTTAAGAAATGTTTAAAAATACTGTCAGTAAAATTTTACAGAATAGCCATTTTATGACCTGAAATCTATTCATTATAATAAAAAAAAAACTTTCTATCTCTACGAACTTTCTAAATCTCTACGAAACAATCACAACAAAATAGGACCCATCAAGAAAAATAATAATTTATTTTACAACTCTCAAGAAATTTCTGATGTCTTCACAGAAGACTATGAAAACCAATTCCAAATTAATAGAGATTCCTTGCTTCCTCCTATCAACTTCTCTATCTCCGATCAAGTGACTGATTTTTTAAATTCAAACTATCAAGCTTCCAACCTATTTCTTAAATTCAAATCTACCAAGCCTTAAAGAAACTAATGAAATTATCCTCAAACTCAACCCAAAAACGTCTGCAGGTTTCGATGAAATTTCCAATAAAGTCATCAAGAATCTCCCACATAAAGGAGTAGTTCTTCTTACCAACATCATAAATAGCTATCTTCGCCGCTGCGTTTTTTCTAGTAAGTGGAAACACGCCATTATTACTGTGATAAAAAACCTGGAAAAGAAGGAATCCATATAAATAAATCTAGACCAATTAGTCTTCTTCCAACTGCTGCAAAAGTTTTCGGAAAAGTCAACCTCAAACGAATTCAAAATTTCATCACTACTAATAATATCATACGAGATCACCAGTTCGGCTTCCGAACTGGATTCTCTACTACTCACCAGGTCACCCGACTGATTGAATACATTGGGGAAAGCCTAATTAAAAAGGAAACCGACGCTGCATTATTAATTGATATAGAAAAAGCTTTCGATAAGGTGTGGCATGATACCCTCCTTATCAAACTCATTCAACAAAAATTTCATGGAGAATTAATCAACTTAATTGCTGATTTCCTCAAAAATAGAACGTTCCAGACAAGAATAAATAATCAACTTTTCAATATCAGAAAAAATAACGCTGGAACGCCACAAGGCGCAATTCTTTCTCCCCCACTCTACAATATTTTTATAAATGATCTCTCAACAGCAGACTGTGCTCTGACAGCATGTTATCTGACAGCACAAAATATTCACTTAAGAATAATTTCCGACTGCCCCTGATTTGTATGCAATTCAGTCATCTATAAAAGCTTAGTAATCTAATAAAATCTCATAAATAAATCTCATAAATGATGAAATTAAAAAAAAATATCTGAAAAATTCCACCGAAACTGTGATAGAAATTGTAGCTGTTATCAGAAACTTAGGCAACTATGACAGCAAAATTATTCAAACCATCAAAAGACCACGTACAATATTTTACAATAATAACTGGAAGCAATCTACTCGCTATGCAAATAAATGTATATACTCACCAATGCTGGCTAAGCAGGAATAGACTTTTCTGCCTGATAAAGCAGGCTTATGGACTTGAAGTTATTTGGAAATATTTTACATTTATTTTACTATTTTAATATTTAATCAAGACATATTTATTCAAGATCTTTCGCTTTTACTATTATCTTCATTGATTAAAAGTGTTTTGTATCATGCAAAAAGTTTCTAAGTCCAATTCAGGACGCACGTGACCCATGTGACTCGCGAAAAACTTCTGATTGGCCTTTGTTCTTTCCACGAATTTAAATAACTAGAGACTTGTATATGTTTATTACGAATATTCTGTATCATTTTCTATAAGTACTAAGTGCTATTTCATCAACTTCAATCACCTTCACCAAACTTATGCCTGTCAAATAATTGCCATGCTTATCACAATAATTGCTTATCATCGACCACCTCTGCAACCAACTTCTTCTGCAACAACTTCTGCCATGATCAACAGATGGAGCCACCCTATCTTTACCAAGGAAGAGTTCCATGCAAATAGAACTCAAGAATTTTTAAAGTGGATCTCATTCTTCACTAAGACGTACCCCGTAGGATAAATAATTTCTGAGTAAAAGTCGCAAGACTAAATACTCATTCTCACCTCAATATAAAAAAAAAAGCGGTTTAGTAAAGGACATCGACAACAGCGCTAGAGCTAGTGTGTAAGTTATTTTCTTCTTTCTTACCTCGTGCCTTCCTTGTGTAACTGAAAAGGACTTCGACAAGCATCGATCCTTTAACTAAGCACTAGGTACGGTCATGAAACCTCCTTATTTAAAGCCTTTGTCCTCTTGCACCAATTTAAGTCCTTCAGGGAACTTGAAATGAATTTACTAAGGTTGTCATCTTCTGAATTCTCTTCACTGATCAACGTGGAATATAGCAAAACGCATGAGTTAACTTTGTGTCTTCAGGACAAGGCATATGTCTTTTTAGATAATAGTCATGTCACAGCCGTGGCATAATTCCATTTTTTAACTTAAATGATAGCATTAATCTAGTCTGTTTTAGAGCTTCCAATGAGCATTCTCCACACTTATGGGCAAGCCACAGACAGCGAACACTTAAACGCGGACTCTGCACTCAAGAGTCTTAATTCGTAAATCAAACGTAATGGAAGGAAAGGCAGCCTGTGGCTTAAATGCCTAAAGCAAGGCACTTGTGATTACATAATAAATACACATATAATAAAAAATTGTTGTTAAGATTTTGGTTCTTCGTTTACATAACTTAAAGTTGTTCTCATTGTCTTAATCGTTGCTCTCCTTTTTTTTTGTATAGAAAATTTATATCGATGGGGAGGATAGAAATCGAATTAGTAAGTAAAAAATCAGTTACGCAACAAAAGAAAAAATGCAAAATAATTCAAATTTTATTTCTTATAAAAAAGACAAAAAATGAAGAATAAATAAAAAAGTGAGTAAAAATATACATGAAAGGTTAAGCAAATAAATATATGATGTTGCATTCCATATTTAAGACAGGAAATGATGCCAGAGGATGGCTTTAATATTTTCAAAACTGTTAAACTGTTCTGCGCTCTTTGCTTGGCGCAGCACTTAGCTCGAAGATGTACATGAAAATATGCTTTACGAAAGCATATGTTGCAAAGCAGTATATTCCGCAAAAGAAGGATTTGCTTACTTGTGTAGTTGTTTTTTAAATTAAAGGTATTCGATACATAATATATATATGTATATCACAAACATATATCTATATGTACTCAAATTGTGTAAGTGATGAATGATTTTAATATTATCTTTACTATAAAGGTCAAAGCTACACGCATACAGTTATATTACACTAATTATTATACCGTATATCCTCGCATATAAGTCGATCTATAAATCCAAAAACATGCGATCATAAAATCCAATTTCGACTTAAACACTATACTAAAATGTAATTCATAAATTTCTGTTTAATTTTAGAAAGAGATATTGCATGCAGATTATAGAGGTAATTGTTATTCTTATCATAGTGCAACTTAATAAAAGCAGAAATGTTAAGGCTACAGTAATAGTATATTTATCGTAAATAATTTTCGTTTTACATTAACCAAACGAAATTTAAACTTGATCTTACTTCCAAAATGGAAAATGAACTGTATTTTATAAATCAAACAGAAAACATTACTATATCAACATGCAAAAATTAATTTTACTCGAAATTTTAGATATTTTGCCAAAGGTATTCCAGTGGTAGATAGATTGTAGTTTGATTATAATACACAGTGGCGAGTGCCTTTGTGGTCACATAGTTACTTCGGAATGCTTTTAGTATTCGACTATAAAATTATAGTAAAGGACTATTAAGTCCTTTAGTATAAAATTACGGTAAAAATAAAGCCTCCTTGTGGGAACATCTGCATGCGAATATATACAGTACGTAAAATGAGTCATTTGCTGTCAAATTATCGTTGTAGAAAACATGAATAAAACATATTTTTGTTTCTTAATTGTAGAGTATTTTTTAAGTATTATAATAGAACGTTACACATATTTTGTTGAAAGAATTAAAATTTATGTGTCAGTCAAGCTTAATTAAACTACATATACTAATACTGAAGAATGAACAAGCTCAAAATGTAATTTCAAGTAAAGAAACACTTCAAGAAAAATATAATTTAAGTTTTACTAAAAATGAGTCGATAAACTAAATGATTTTCCTACAAATATTTGTATCACTACAATTTTGTATGATATAAAATCACGTTAATAATTTATTTCCTTAATTTAGTTATTTCAGACGATTTTTTTAAATGAATAACAACAATTATTTTTCATAATACTTCTTACTTCTTTTGACCCAGGTAATCTCTACAATTATTACGTGTGGTTTAGAGAGTTTAAAATACCTAAACTTTAAAACATCGTTCTATTGTGATTACTATAGAATATTTAGGAAAATAATTTCAATGCATTTTAAAAGGTAGAAAAAACATATTTTAAACTCTTTGGAGTACTCTTTATAACGTTGAATTTCATATGGTGTAAGGAAGCTTGTTTTAACTAGAATTTTCTATAATCAATATACCCTACTACTACAAAACTGAAATGTGTGAACAAGTGCTCGACACTAAGTCATTATAGATTTACTTCAAAGAATCACAGATATTATGAGAGTATCATACACAATAAAAATCTTTTAATTATTGCTTTTTCGGGCCATCCCTCTCACTGTCGTAATCTGAAGAAAAGCTTCGATAGTTACCCTGAGCATATTCTTCAGCGTACTGCTGTTCATTAGGATCTTCTTTGGGGTTATCCTTTCGATAATAAGCGAAACTCTTCTTGACCATTTTGGGCTCTTTTAAGCTTGTGGCCTTATCCTGGCTTTTTGTAACTTTCTTATCATCATAATCATCAGAATGGGCTTTTCTTGGGCTTTCTTCTGGATAATCGTAGTGGTAATGATGCTCGTATGTTCTCGGGGCATCATCCTTTTGGGCGGTTCCGCTAGAAATAGGTGCCCGAGCATTGCTTTCTTCAAGTCCAGATTGTGGATGTGTGTATTCGTAGGAATGCACATTAACAGTTGGCTTAATGTCTTTAAACGCAGTTGGTGTGCGAAGATTGAATCTTTCCTGATAACCTTTGAAAGATGTGATGGGATTGGTGAATCCGGGGAAACTTCTGAAGTGTGTCTCCAACATTCTGTCAATGTAGTCAGGAGCTAATGGATCTCTGGCTTCTGGTTTTCTCATGTCAAGTTCAACTGGACGAGAGTTTTGGTAAGTTGCAGGCTCACTATCGTAACTCAAAGAAGGCTCTGCTTCCAGTCGTGAGTTAACAGCTCGGAAAGCGGGTTGTATTTCTGGAATTTTGGCATCAGGCCCATCAATACTTGGATATTCACATTCTTTTGTGATTATCACACTCTTGGCATTGGTATTGGAGGATTTCTTTTCATCTTCAGGATCCATTTTTTTGACAACGGTTCTACAACCATTTTCATCGACCTTTTCTTCTCTGCGTTCAGGTGCTTCCTTCCAGTATGTTTTGCCTGCAATTTGAAATAAATTGAAGTACGAGCTAAGTGCAGAATTCAGTAATACAGGTATATACCCTAAAAACTAATAAATAGAAATGATTTGCAAAGAATAACAATAAAAAATTAAAGAAAATTCATCATAAAATCACAACTATGCAGAAAACTAAAAAATTAGAAATTTAATGCATATTTACATATATTATCTACTTTTAGGCAGAATATTTATACTTAGTTATTTTTCACAGAGCAAAAAATATCGGTCTCATAACAATGTAAACCATTATAAAGAGTGCGAGAGAAAAATTTAAATTATTATAATGCAAGTGCATTATAATAGTTTAAATTTTTCTCCATTCCTGAACTATTCTTTACTTTGCCTGTCAAAAATCAATACTAAATATCACCTTATAAAGTTCTGGCACTATATATACATATTTCTAACCCCGATATTAAAATTTATTGAGATACATAAAACTAAAGCTACATGAAACATGCAGTTTAATATACAGTGGTACCTCGTTATACGAGTGCCCTAATATACGAGTGTTTTGAGATACGAGCCGCCGAGCGAGCGATATTTTGCTTTGAGATGAGAACAAGATTTAATTACACGATTATATCTCAAATATCGCAATATTATTATAATCGTATCTCAAATATCTCACTCTACAACCGCTGCACACGACCGCAACATGCGCGCGCATGTTGGTGTCGGGTGCAGAGTCTAACAGTTTCTCCCACCTCAGACTAGACCTCACTCTATGTGCTTGTTTCCCTCGTTTTCGAAGCATTTTTGATACGTTGGGTTCGCGTTTTTTTCTTTTTGTACATTTACAAAACATTATCACATTTACTTTTATAGCAATGGGTCCGAAGAAGAAGATGATGTCTATTGAATTAAAGCGTGAAATCATAGAAAAACATGAGCAAGGTGTGTGAGTAATTGACTTGGCGAGGATGTACGGGCGTAGCACATCAATGATATGTACTGTGCTGAAACAGAAGGAGTTGATAAAGGGAGTTGATAAAGGGATAAAAGGAGTTGATAAAGGAGTTGATAACGGCCAGCTAAGGGCGTTACCATAATTTCTAAGCTCCGGATCTCTCTCCATGAAAAGATGGTGAAACTACTGATGGTGTGGGTGACAGAGAAGCAGCTTCGTCCTCGACAATGTCCCTGCTCACCCACCAAATCTCGAAGACGATTTACTCGAAGAGTTCGAGTTTATAAAGGTTCTCTACCTACCACCCGACACCACTCCTATCCTGCAGCCCATGGATCAGCAGGTGATTTCTAATTTTAAGAAGTTGTACACCAAGAACACAAACCTTACCCTTCCAGAGTTCTGGAAGGACCACTTTAACATCGTGATATGCCTAAGAATTATTGATCAGGCCTGGCTGGGTGTTACAACGAGGACCTTAACCTCCGCATGGAAGAAGCTGTGACCTCAGGCTGTAACTCAAAGGGCCTTCGAAGGGTTGGAACTCGAAGTGTCAGTGGTAGAGGAGATTGTTTCCCTGGGAAAATCCATGGGTCTTGAGGTGGATGAGAGAGATGTGAACGAACTCGTCGAGGAGAGGAACCGAGGAGCTGAAAACCGAGGAGTTACACGATCTACATTCGCAGCAGCATACGGTGGTTCAACAAAAAATTAGTTTTGAAGAGGAGCCAGAGATGGAGGAGGTTATCTCTACGAGATATATAAAGGAGATCTTGGGAATGTGGGAGAAAGTTGTAGAGTTCGTGGATAAAAATCACCCCGAAAAGTTGCAACTGGTCGTGCATCGGAGTTGTTCAACGAAACTTGCCTAACTCATTTCTGCAATATCCTTAAAGGGAGGAAGAAACAAACCTCCTTGGACAGTTTTTTAAACGATCTGCAGGTAAAAATTAGCAAAGCGTGACGAAAAAAGCGAGACCAGTGACGAAAATTAAGCGATTCCGTAAGCGCTTCACTTTTTCTTTTAATTATGTTTTTATATAATCTGTATTTGTTATTTATAAATAAATGTTTCTTCTTGTAAATACATTTTTCTTATTCAAGAACACTTAACAAAAACAACTGAGGTGGTGTTTTGGGAGCTGGAACGGATTAATAGCATTTCAATTAATTTCAATGGAGAAAATTGTTTTGAGATACGAGCAATTTGACATACGAGCAAGGTTACGGTACGAATTAAACTCGTATGTCGAGGTACCACTGTACGAGTGTGCTGCAACCCTCCCGGCCGATAATAATCGGCCTCATGGGTTAACGCAGCACACCCAACACAGACAAACAAAAACACAGTTAAAAAATTAAAACACAGATTAAAACTGAAATACAGTCAAAACATCAAACCCAAATTCCCAGTATTGTTCTATTGCCATTTATAAGGTTCATTAAATCCTTTGCAAATCTAAACTCTTTATTGCGGCAGTAGAATTCCTTCATGTTACCATGTTTTTCTCTAACATGTCGAAATAATACGCAGTCTTCGACAAAATACAAACATTCAATACATAAAACATGTATATGAATCCATAGACCGATCATTGCATTTGTGATAATTATTCTACAGTAAATTTTACAAAAAGTTATATTTTAGTTAAGCTGTACGCTTTCTTGACTCTTGCGACTATATTTGCTCACACCAGAAAGCTACGTGAGTTTAATGACAAGCAATGTAGTATAAAAGTACAAGATTATTCTTTATCTTGATAATAAAGGAATTTTTGTGGTGCCATCATTACTGATCTCTGTACATTTTTGTGGTGTCTTACTGATCTTGTTTATGGCTAATGTCAATCACTTTCCTGTGGTAAAAGTGTTTTATGAAATGAATATCACATGGTGATAAAATACTTAATTTTGAATTTAAGATCTTGTCCTAAATAATTTGTATTTCATCAACTAGTGTAAATAGTTTCATCTTCTAATTTTACGTAATGATAAGTCAATCATTTTAGTTTGTGTTACGATTTTAATTTACACAGAAAAGCATAAATAAATAATTATTTGGGTATAATTGTACTTTTCGTCGACAATTATTTAATTAAGAACGAAAACTGGCCAACACGTTAAGGTAATTTGGTGTGTTAGTTGTTAAGTTGGATACTCAGTTTAATTTTAACTTCACACTGCAGACGTCATAGCTAAAGAAATGAATCAAATAACTTACAGCTCATATTACAACAATTTTGTTCACATTACGCATTAAAGTTATGTTAAATATAAATATTTAGTCATTCTCTTTGCAAAGAAAGTTCAAATCTATAAATTTTTCTTATCCTAATGAAGAGTGTTTTAAACCTATCTTGTAAAATATATATTTGAGTTAAAAGCTTGTCAAATAGTGCAAAAATTTAAGGAACGTTTCTACGAAGGAAAAGCTGGAGTGGTACCCGCTTTTACAGGCAATATCACAGTGAAATTATATTGCCTACAGATTTTGAATTCAACAGTTCTACTAATGTGTATTTGAAATCAATTCTTTTATACAGTGGATGGACAAAAATATGGAAACACCTTGTGAAATGCATGTTTGAAAAGAAAGATTGATTTTTAATGAAATATGTAGGTGGCGCTGGCGTTTTTGACTACTGACGCCACCTATACAACTTCGTAAATGTGCTAAACAGTTCAGTTGTTGTCGAAGTACTGTTATGTGAGGTTGTCATTGCATTATGTCAGAGTTAACAGACTTCGAACGTGGGCAAATTGTTGGAGCACGTATGGTAGGTGCTTCCGTAAGCAAGGTAGCCGAGGTGTTTAGTGTTTCAAGAGGTACTGTATCGAAGATTTATTCCGCATATTTGAAAAGCGGAAAACATCATCTGCTAAATCACAGCGCGGACGAAAGTGTGTCCTGAGTGATCGTGACAGACGATCATTAAGGGCAATTGTGACGAAAAATAAGAAGACCACAGCTGCAAAAGTTACTGCTGAAATGAATGTTGTGTTACCGAACCCTGTGAGTACCAAAACAATTAGAAGGGAGCTTCATAAACAGGGAATTGCTGGCCGTGCTGCAATTGAGAAGCCACTCATCAGTGATGCTAATGCCCGTAACAGGAAAAGGTGGTGTTTAAGTCATAAAGCCTGGATTATAGAGCAGTGGAAGCGAGTAATATGGTCTGACGAGTCTTCTTTCACATTGTTTCCCACTTCTGGCCGAGTTTACGTCTGGAGAACGCCATCTCAAGCCTATAATAGAGACTGATTGTTGCCAAGAGTAAAACATGGCGGGGGTTCTGTTATGGTTTGGGCAGCCATATCGTGGTTCTCTGCTAGCCCCATGATAACTGTGTCAGGGCACATGACTGTCAAGACTTATGTGAACATTTTGGCCGATCAAGTTCATCCCATGGTACAAACTTTGTTCCCCGATGGTGATGGTGTCTTCCAAGACGACAAAGCCCCTGTTCACACAGCTCACATTGCCCTGGACTGGTTTTTTGAGCACGAGGATGAGTTTTCCCATCTTCCCTGGCCACCACAGTCACCAGACCTGAATATTATCGAACCTTTGTGGTCTACATTAGAACGGAAAGTGCGTTCTCGTTATCCACCGCCAACATATAAAAATTTAACATTTTATATTATTGTTAATAATTTTTATCACTGTATCCAAACTGCCTCAGACTACCTTATTTGATTTATTTCTTGATCTGAAACTATGGTTCTACGAACAACCATTCCAGAGCCATTCTATTGTGCAATGCTTTCTGAAAAACTGGAACATGCTAATAAAATAATATATATATATAATTTATTTACTAAAGAAATATTGATTACATTATCTCCTAAGATTACTTTTAGTAGAATTATCTAAGTGAATTTAAGATTGTACAACATTTGATATATCTATTATGTTCCATAAATTTAGATACGTTGAAATAAAAATCATGTAAAATAAGCAAAGTGACGTGAGTTCAAATTATACAGAAAAGCGTTTTATTGTAGATTTGAAGTAGATTTCCTTTTCTCATAACCTACGCTTTAGTTAAAATTGTAGAGACATTAGGTTATTTCGAAGCAGGAGACGTGAAAAAAAGAGCCATGTCCTCGCCGGGACGCGAACCACGGATCTCCCGCTGAATACGCGCTGAGTGTACTGACCATTACACCATGAATGCATGCTAAGAAGGGACAGAAATACCTTATATAATTCCCCTTTTAAAGGGCGACTGGAGCCTAGGGGACCCATTCGCCAAATCCTAATGGTGGAGAATCATTACCCCCCCCCCTTTTTTTAGCTCGGGCGCAACTTTAGGGACATTAGGTATTTTTTGAAAGGATGAAAGATTAAAATGAGAAATGTCCTCGCCGGGACTCAAATCACTGACCTCTCGAATACGCGCCGAGTGTGCTGACCACTACACCATAACATGCTTAGAAGGCGGGAGAAATACCTTAAAACCTTTCACCAACAGATGAAGTTGTACTGTTAATATCTTGAATATATGAAGATTTAAACGTACCATTATATAATTTAGACTTATAATATGCTCTTGATGGCATACTAAAAAAGATGCATAAACGGTTCTCTTTGTAATCATTGTGTAATACTAAAAGCATCATCTATTTTTTAAATCTGAAATTAAATAAATCTGCTTTCGTGATAAGTGCCTATGGAAAAAATGCACTCTAATACACCAGTTAACTTATTTTATGTAATTTTGCAAATGCATTGAAAATTTATGGGACACATTGTGTAACTGAAATATTTTGTTCATAATTAATATTTAGAATATTAACTACAATAATATTTTACGAAATATTCTTTTGAATGAATACATTTTTATTTATTTATCAAAGTATTTTCGAATATATAATAATTTTGAAGTATTTTTGAACTAATAATTAAAATGCATATAACTGTGCGGATAAAAGTAGTAAAACAGTATTTATTGATTAAAACAAATAGATGATATTTTAGGAAAAGCAAATTAAGATGTCGTAGTAGTATATGCTGTCAATTATCTTTTTGTATAACTCCTTTCAATTTGTTAAAAAAATATTCCTAGAATTTTTTAGATGCTAGTGTAAACCGGATATCTTGTTTCGTCAATTTTTCAAAGTCCCTAATCGTAGTGAAGATTGCTGAATGAGTATTTGGATTTAAAATTGACATTTCGTTTTAGTTTGCTAAATTTGAGTTGATAGAGAATGCGATCTAGGTTATTCGTTTGAGTATTAAAAGTAGACATATAGACAATGTAAAATTATGTAATTAAATATATTTTTTACACTCAATTAAAGCCATTAATTTCTGTATAACCATTTAAATACACTGTTCATAAACAACTCACATGTAAACCTTTCGCTTTAAACATGTTTATAAGAATTTAAAATATCCTTGTATGAATAATCTAGATTACAAGACGTAATGTGCATGCATCACAGGATTAGAACTTACATGTTATATTTGAAAACTCATTGTTACGAGTGGAATGTTTTCAAACAGATTTGAAAGCATAACTTTTTATTTCACTATCAAGGTAAATCCTTTGACAATTTTAACTTTTGAGTTAAACCGCATATCATTTGATTGAAACAATTGTAAAATAAAACGCTTAGATTTAGTTTGATTAAAAAAAAAACTCTATCTGAACGAAAAATAAAACAATACAGAGGCATGCATAGTTAAATAATCAATAGATACATACATTTTATGGCAGTTTCTCCAATCAAAATTTTAATTATGGATAAGACTGCTTTCACTAATGACTATTACAGCAACCCAAATATGTTTGCTGATTAAATTTTAATCCTCGTGGAGGACATTCACATATCGCAATCATTAATTGCGCTATTAGAGTAACATGTTTAAGTGAACAACATACCTTTCAGCTTAGTTTCGGTAGGATCTCTGGAATATGACTCATAGTCGAAACGAGGTTGGTAGGATTGCACATTTTCGCTTGCGGCAATATCAAGTACTGCAAGTGGATCTTTTTCGAAACCAAATTTCTCTTTGCTCAGAACCTTCTCGACTATCGACTCGTAGAAACTTTTCACTGGATTAGAGCCAGCAGATTCAAGATCTGAAATTCTAAACAGGGATGGGAATTCTTCATCGTACTTGAAGGCGCTTTCAAATCGGAAATCTGGTTCAAAGGACGAACGTCTCAATCCTCCCTCAATTTCGGAATCAGCAAATCTCTCCTCTGGTTTATTGGCTGTAGCTTTCTTTGAATGTTTCTGGGGTTTGCGGTGAATGACGTACGCTTCTTGGTTCCCATCTGGTAAATAGGAGCTAACTTTTGATTTAGGAACAATGACTATCCTTGATTTAGGAGCATTTCTCACTCTCTCGTCTTTTTCCACCATCTCTTCGAGTTCTTTCAACGACATTGAAGACATTACCTTAGCTTCCAGGTGTGCACGAACCTCAGGATCCATCGGAGACTGAGAGATGATGCTTTCCAGCAACTGCATCATTACGATGCAGAGGCACTATAACAGAATAAAGAAAGAATCAGAAAATGTTTAAATGCAGATCAATATTAATCATTACTTTTCTCTCAGACCAAAATAATTACTATACTTTTGTCCAACATTATGCTTTATCACAGGGAAAAAATGCATTTTTTAGCTATACGAATCCTAAGTATACCTGTGTTATAAATACTACATTTTGTAATTTTAAATTATATTAACCGTATGATTACATTAAGTCAATCTCCTTTATATTATTTTAAAGATGCTTGCTCGGCCAGTTTTTGGTAGTAAAATTGTCATACAAAAGGTTGGCCACGTAAGCAACAAAATATGTTTAGTATCTAAAGAGTTTTCTAGAGAATAGATTGAGGGTTAGTTTTAAAAAATACTGAAAAATTTCTTAATACACTTTTATCTTTTTTATTTTAAAACAAAGCTAAGAGTTTTCTTAACAAACTGCGAACATTTAAAGTTTTATAACAGATATACTTTTAAATGTCGGAATTTTTAAGTCCTAAAGAAAGAATAAAATAATATGCATCGCAATGAAATTAAAAAATCGACTTTTAAAATGCAATATTCAGAAAATTGTATAAAACTTATAAAGTAAAAAACATTGTAAATGATATTGCAGATCTTATTGCAATACATTTTAAACGACGGTAAATCTATTGTTTAGAAGCACTAATGCTTTATATAGTAAATAGAAAACGAAAAATGAGATTAATAAAATAAAATGAGTACTAAATGTACATTTTTATAACATTAGAAAAATGGCAGAAGACTACTGTAGTAAGCCTGATTATTTTGCAAAAGATTTTGTAATAAAGATCAGTAGGCGATATTAAAGAAATCTATATGGGACCAAAATGTAGTGGAATTATATTTCGAAGTCACATTTCCAAGGGTAATCATGTATTGCCCAGAGAAGAACAACTTTCACTTTATAACTATACTGCATCATATTTAAGGCACGTTTTTCTCATCCGAACAGCGTAATTATCAGGTTCTCGAATACGCGACGAGTGTGTTGTCATTACACCACAAAGGCATGCTAAGAAGGCGCTAGAAATACGTTAAATACTCCTCCTTTTAAAAAGGATTAGGAGACACAATTGCCAAATCCTGGTGGTGGAGAATCATCATCCACCACCTTTTTTATTTCGGATCCCACTATAGAGACATTATATACTATTTTAAAGCTGGAGAAATGAAATATGAGCAATGCCCTTGCCGGGACTCGAACCATGGACTTCTCGAATATACACCAAACGTGCTGACCACTACACCACTAAGACTTGCTAAAAAGACGGGAGAAATACCTTATAGTATAACAAGATCTCCAGGGAAAAGAAAAAGCAATTTTTCAATTGACTGGGACTGTAACTGCTTTTCAGATAAAGTTAAATTTGTGGATAAATCAGATGAAAGAAAAAAAATTTCACCCATTTTCAGAATTTATCAAGCCATATTAATTACCACGAGGCAATTAAAACAGAGAAATACTCGGAAAACCTGAAAAAAAAATTGAACTTTATGGATCCATAAAGTTCAACCAATATTATTATTCATCTCAAACCCATTTGCCAAAATTAATATTTCAGATGTATCACATAAGATTGGAAATATGTTTAACAAAAATGTTGATGTTTTGGAAATGCGCTCACGATAGGCCAAAATGTGCTCGCGAGAGGCCAAAGGTTGGGCACCACTGCATACGCTTATCAGTAAATAATTAAATAAAGAATACACAAATCGAACGTAATAATAAGCATACATCTTTCTCCGAACGATTTAAAATAAGAAAAGAAAAGAAAGAAATTTATGAAGTAAGTGCACTTTCAAACTTTGTTTGAAAAGGCTGGAAGCATTTCTGTGATTGATTGAAAAGTAAAAATCGATTAGTTAGAATTAAAAACTGAATAACTGTATTACGTTTATTCACCAATAAATTTTTCATATTAAATATATTTTCAGAATTACTCTATAGATTCCTTTTACATTCCTCAGTACAGTCAACAGCATAATAAAATATTTTGTGCAGTGTGATATTTTAGTCTGATACTGCAATAGCGATAAAATCCTAAACGTGTCCGTTTATCGAAATTTTGCTAATTACAAAGCCTTAGTTTAATGCCAGTTGACTAGCGCTGGGTGACATGAAATGATCACCAGACACTAATGTAAAATATAACCTTGTCCAGCAGAAATTGGCAATCTTCAAATAAGAACAGAGAACAGGTCGGAAAAATACCCACTAATGACGTTACCAGTTTTATTTTTCTTTTGAATCCAATCTAAGGGAACAGCTCGCGAACTAATGCGAGAAGTCAATAGACGTCTTTCCCTTAAAACAGTTTCCAGATTAATTCCCTCAAGTAGGCACAATGGATTGTTTGGAAGCCAGCACACCATCATTATATAAGCTAACAAAGCGAATTAGAGATTACTAGCCAATGTAAGTAATAAGATAGTTTGTAGAAAGGATTAAACTACTACAGTGGATCAGATTTTAAAGTCAGCCCACGATAACAGGTTCGGTACTTCGCAGTCTTTGAATAAGCTTTAGTTCCAAATTTGGGTATTTTAATATAAAATTATTTACCATTAAGTTAGCCTGAAACAACTGGAAATTGTCTCCTTTAGGTGGAGGTTTTTGAATAAAATTTTAATTCTAACAAGAGCCTCAAAGAAATTAAGCTTCAATATTTTGCTTTATTACTTAACGAATAACTGTCAACAGTTCAGCCGAAAACAACTAGAAGTGGGTTCCGCTACGTCCGGTCAAAGATGTTGAAAGAAGTTGTCTACTAGCCGGAGCTTTAATTACGATTAACTTCTTTATATTAATTATAATTGAAATATTTGTAACTGATTTAATTTAGAAATTTAACTTAGATTATTTAATTATTCATTATATGATAATAAATAACGAATAATTTACTTAATTATTCATTATTTACTTAATTATTCAATTTACTTAATTATTAAATTCTATTAACGAATAGTTAATAGAATTGAATTTTGTTTAAATAATTTTCAGTGATATTTAAATTTAAGATTATTTTTTATTTATCATCAGCAGGCTAAAAATGTCGCAGTTGCAAAATAAAATTTACCGAATTTCCTACAAACGAGTAGAACTTTACCCTTTTTTAAAAGCTAATATTCTTATTGTGTACTGCCTTTACTATGATAACTGTAGTGAGTGAAAGAATGCAAAGCTTTTTCTGGATTTGGAGAGGCGGTTGTTATTCGATATGTCTGATGTGATTCATAAAAGAAGAATAAATATAATTATATAATTTCAAGCGTCATTTTACTAAAAGTTTTGCTGAGATTGAAATAGCAGTATAACAGTCCACTGCAAAAGATGGAACACTGAACTATAAGTCCTTCCACTTCAAGTACTTTTAATTTTAAACGTTAATTCCTCGAAGACATGAATTTAAATTTCCCATTCTATCTGCAAGAAAGGATGCTACACATTAGATGAGAGTGAAACGCACGAGACAGTCAAGAGTACACATATTACGCTATGAAAATGGTGTCAGGGGAGATTTTTTATAACGAAATGAAAGAAATGTGCAACATTTATAGCGAAAATGTATTAGACAACGCATCAAATTCCTACGCATCATACTGTACTAATAAACTTTGTTTCATTATTTTAAGATTTCATTCTCATACAGACATATCCTGACCATCTTGAAGCTTATCTCTGTAAGCTCTATAAAAAGTTTCAAACAAAAACATAAACAGCTGAGGTGTTTCACATTTTGCATAAACCATATCCATCAATTTCAATAAACACATGCAGGGTTTTATAGACAAAAATCCTGGAAAAACGAGAATTATCTCAAAACCTGAACTGTGGAAGTACACATAGTAAATGTGTTAAATAAATAAACATATTCGTTTTATGGTTTTTAGATTTCTAATTAATGATCACAGAACCCAAGAAATAATAAGAAACAAATTCAATATTTTAATACGTTTGCACAGTACTATATAATGTATGCGTATATGTTTAAAGCTAATGCTTCAGTTTTAGTTGCATACGTGTGCTTGAAGATAATGTTTCACTTTGAGCTTATATTATTATGTATATATATATATATATATATATATATACATATACATAGCGGAAAAGTTTCATTTTTGATTCTATCAGTCTCGCCATACAAATTTTCTCTTTCAATTTGCATCTATTTGTGTAATACAATAAACTCTGATTTCTTCTTGCAAAATTAACAAAATTTATTTGAAAAATGCTTAGATGAATTAATCATTAAGATAAAACTATGTTACGGATCGGTGGAAATAATGTTTTGTAGAAAAATCAACGAAATGAAAAAGGGCCGAAAATACGTACAAAGAATATGCGTAAAATCAGAAAAATGCGATTCTCCTAGCCACAGAAAAGTTACATTTATAAAAACAAAAAGAAAAAAAAATAATTATAAGAAATAAGAATAAGAATTACAACTTTAAGGGAACGCTAAATTGCAAAATTACAACCGAAAAGTGACGCTCAATAAAGCCGGCATACAGTTAAAAACTATTGTTTTATTTTAATAAAAAATAAAGTAAAACATTAGCTTTCGAAAAAAGGGAAGTGCTTCGTAAATATGTACATATATTTTTAAGAACAGCTTATCGAAAAGAATTTCATATATTCTTCTTTTTCCTTCCATGTTTGAAAGACAGCCAATCTGAAAAGTATTTTTATTTAGTAACTCTAATGCATTTTCTCCAGTGAGTGGCATGGTAAAATATTCGTATTCAGTTCTTTTGTGTACTCTGCGAGATGTTATTATGCGAAGCATTAGTCCGGAAACTTCAAAAAGGCTTAAGCACTTCGTAATGGGATGGATGTGTTCCGAATTAACTACCATTTACGACATTTTAACGCAATAATCAATCACTTCATTCGGAAACTCTTTATATGTGAATCGTCCCTGAAACGCAAGCGTAATACTACCAGTTTCTTTTCTTTATGTTCGGGTTCAGTA